AGAGCCCCAGACCCAGGCTCCCCCTGTACGTGGACAGGCCAGCCGGGAAGGGGCGGGGTGGGGCGGGGGGGGGGGGGGAGCATCTCGTGGTCACACTGCACGCAAGCCACCCCCGCCCCCAGAGGCAGCCGTGAACACAAAGGCCGGACCCCGTCCTGGGCGGTGGCTCCCGACCGCCCTGTAGACGAGGGGCCTCTTCAACCGTGGCCTCTGCGCGGGGACACCGGAAGGTCGGGATGGGACGGGCACAGGCCCGAAGCGCTTTGGTGTCGCTGCTCTCAGTTCACGTGGTGCCTTTCTCTTCTTCACTTCCTGTCAGGAATCTATCCGCGTTTCTTCTATGTTTCGAAGCAGTGCTCCACGTATTGTCCAGTAAGTGCTCCGTGTGCTCCGGGACTCAAGACCTTTGTCCTCGTCGAGCCTATGCCCTTCCTGTACGCACACTGCTGTTCGGGGTTCTTGTGCAATACGCAGAAGCCGAACGTCCGCGAGCCGGAATTCAGAGAAGGCGGACGAGCAAGCCGCTTGAGGAGCAGCGGGGCCTGGCTGGCCGCCTTCCTGACTCTGTCCTCTGTGTGAGGGGCCTCGGGCGGTGCCTTGGGAGCGCGGCACCGATGACCCGGACTCGCCGCAGGTGATGGGAACCTCAGCATTAAACCTGTTTTCCGCTGGTTAACGCGTGGTCTGCCTCTCGAGGGGCGGAGAACAGGTGGGGGGGACCAAATCCATTCGGCCCAGCCCGATGCTCCCTTTCGAGCAAGTCCGGCCCTGGCGGTGGCGGGGGGAGGGGGGGCCTCGAGTACTAGTGTTCGTCTCTGAACGAAAGGCTTCTAACTGTTCGTGGCCGACGCTCTCTCCTTCTGTCCGTCTCCGAGGGTTTCAGCACTGCTGGGGGGCCTGAGGGTCACCCGGCAAGGGAAGCGCTCGGAGGCTCCCGGCCTTTGCAGGATCAGGGTCGGTGGGAAGACAGGATGCAGTGGGCGGGAGACGCCAGCAGGGAAGGGCTCCTGGGCAGGGCACGGGGTGCGGGGATGTGGTCCCAGGGACGGCCCTCCTGTGACGGGGGCGGCACCGTGGCTGCTCTGCCTCAGCTCCTCCCACATCAGGGATCCTGTGGATGAACTCGGACTTCGTCCAGCGACTGGCACAGGTGCCTGGGCTCACAGGTTCGCCCACGTGCCTTCGACCAACACGTGAGCCTCGGCCAGGGAGAGGGAGCAGGGTCCTCTTTTCATTTCTCAGCTGAGCTGCAGCCGCCAAAGAGGCGTGAGGGTCAGACTCCCCGTCTGCAGAAGACTAGGGCTTTCTTCTCCTGACCCTGTTGACTCCCTGTGGGGGCTGCACTGAGCACCTCCCTCCTGCACCTTCCTCTCCTCGCCCCCTCCCCACCTGCTCTGACACGGCTGACCCAGGGACACGGCTGGGCGCGGCACCCTGGGAACCTTCCAGAAAGAGTCTCCGTGGCCCCAGAAGGAGGCAGCATGGTGCATTCCGTGGATGGTTTCTGGGCCATCCCTGAGGCACGGATGAGGCCCATCTCTGTCACGTCGGAACCCTCCACGGCAGAGGCCTAAATGCATCCTGGGGGCCGGTGCAGAGGCGGGGCCCCCGAGGGTTGACCCGCAACTCCAGGAGTGGAGAGGATTTCAAACAGGGTCTGTCACCTCCTACCGTGTGCACGTCCCTTTCCCCGGCACAGGCTGTGTGCTCGCATCCTGCCGATCACGCTCGTCCTCAGGAACAGCGTCCCCCAGCTGCCCCGAACTCACAGCCTGGGACTGGAGCTGGGGGGCCCCTGTTCTGTAAGGGGAGGCAAAAGTGGGCGCCTCCCCACAAAGAGCAAGAGAGGCGGGATGTCACCCCCACGCAGGACCTGGGCCGGCCACCTGACGGTGGAGTGTCTTCAGAGACAGGCCAGGGACAGGCCTTGTAAGACAGCAGGGAGCCCAGAAGTGGGCGTCTGGAGAAGCCCTACCGCTGGAACTGGCCGGGGTTTGGTGAGCTGATGGGGACAGCTTTCACTGACCTGATGGTGCTGGTGGGTGAGGCATGAAGCTCTTGGAGGAGGGGGAGGAGAGGGAAATGGGGGGGAGGAGAGAGAAGTGGGGGGGG